TATAAATATAAAATCATAAACTATCACCATATCAACATTTAACAAACCACTTTCAGTTTTCAAATCTGTTTAATGTTTTATTACGATAATTCAAGCATTACTGGATACAAGATACTAGCTAATGTATAAACTGAAAGATTTAAAACAGTTTTTATTAATGAATGTATATGTACTACATATATAAATTTTCTTAAAACATAACAAGTCAAGATTTCAAAAACTTGCAATTATCATTATATAATAATCACTAATACTAGTCATTCTGGCTAATTATTTTTTTTTTATTTTTGGACACTTTCATTCATGATCATCTTTCTCTAGACATTTAATTTAATCTACTTTAAGTAATAAACATTGTCAAACATTTTAATAAGTATTTTATTTTACTTACATATATACAGTAAGACCACGCTTAACGCTGCTGCTTTGCTTAACGTTGATTCAATATAACGTGGTCTGCTCAAAGCCTTAAAAAAAAAATTAAAGCTGATTTAAATTATTGCAGCATTTTATTGATTCATATACTGTATAATACAATTATTTACGAACATGAACCAATCAGCAAAATGTGGCAAAAAGGTGTACTTTCTTTTAATCTATGTATGTTTGATGCAATTTTCGAAAAATATAACATCATAGATGCCACAGGCAATATCAGCTTTGCTTGGCAAGAATTAACTGATAAATGCACAAATGAAGTGTGGAAGAAGTTATGGCTGAAGGTATCCAAGAATTCTCCATGAGAAAAGCCTATCACTGTATCGATTAGGTTGACAAAATTGTCAACGTAATCGATACAGCAGGACTAGATGTCGAGCAGGATATTGAGGAGTTACACAGGTTTCTGGTGAGAGTCTTACAAATAATGACCTTCAAGAACTGGCAGAACAAGGAATTCATGAAGAACTGGAAAATAGAGATTCTAAAAATGAAGAACCCAAAAAATTTCTCTACAGATTTCCTTAGTAAAAGTTTGGTAACAATAACTGAAATCATTGATCAAGTTGTAGCAAATGATCTAGATTTTGAAAGGAGTGCAAAAGCAAAACAAGGCATTTTGGATGCAATCTTCTGCTACAGACATTTGCTTAAGGAATGAAAAAAGCTACAAATGAAACTTCATGGATTTTTCTGAAATTCTTGTTTTTTTTTTTTTTGGCAGTAAAGTCAGGATCTTTATCACAAAAAATGAACTTTACATTTTTGTGTGTATATGTTTGTGTTACTTAACATATTTTTATATTAATTAGTATAAGTATAAACTGCAAATGACAATTCAAACAGTATACTTTCTGCAAGAAAAAAATTGCTTCATTTTTTTAACTAAAAAATCTTATTAAAAGCATAATTTAACAACTTGCTAATAAGAAAGATAAATATAAAACATAACAGGGAAGGAATTTCTTTGATTTCATGAACTATTAAGATGTAATGAAACAGATGGTAGGTAGTTTGTTCATAATTACATCTGTTAATACTTGTAAGCAACTTTACTAATACAATCCAAGATTATGTTTTCGTTTTATCCGTATGGTGTTTGTTTTCATAACAATAAAATTAATAAGAATCAAAAATAACATTAATAGTGTGCCAAATACGACTCCCACACATATTTAACACACTGCTGCTTCATATTGTCAAGGCCAGTCATATCTAGATGACAACTGTTGTCCTTTGTGTCCTTGTCACAGATAATTTTTTTTATTTACTATAATAAAATAAAAACATACATTAATATATTTTTGTAGATAATCATATAAGATTAAACATGTTTTAAGGAACAATAAGAATGATTAAAATGTCTTAGTACACCAATGTTAGTAGTCACAGTCACAGAAGGCAGGACTGAAAATTACATTGTATAACATAAAAACTATTCATGTTGGAGTAAATTTGATTACATACTCTGAAAATCATGTCTTAAAGCATATTCTGTTTGCACCAGATCTAACTTTTGCAGTTTGGAAGAGGCGAGCTGCTTTATAACAATAAAATAACTTCTATTTTGTTACAATNTTTTTTTTTTTTTTTTTTTTTGGCAGTAAAGTCAGGATCTTTATCACAAAAAATGAACTTTACATTTTTGTGTGTATATGTTTGTGTTACTTAACATATTTTTATATTAATTTATATAAATAATATAACTTAAAATTAAAGTAAAATTTGTTTATTTTTGGTCATGTGTTTTCCTATCCCTATTCACTCTATGTTAAAATGACCTCATTTAATGATGTTTCGTTTAGTGCTTTGTTCCTAGTAATGTATCCCATGTTAAGCAGGTCTTACTGTATATATATATATATTACTTTTAATATATATTTTATTATTTTACTGATAGATGTCCTTGGCCTAATTGTATCATTCCTTCACATAGAATTTTACCTTATTTAACAATGCTTTATGTAGTTAGTTCTGCATCAATTCTTATAGGATTACATTTGTCAAAAATAGGATCAAATTTGGAATTTAGAACTTACATATTCTAAACAAAAATTTGGAAGAGATCTATTCAAACTTTCATTTGTAAAATTACATAAATCTTGTTTAAACTTAATATTGTTTTCGTTTTCCTTCAAATTATTGCAGTAGTCTTGATTATCAGAAGCAAGATGTCACATATGTTTGATAAAGTATTAAATAAACTGAACTATTTGGAAGTATTGCTCCCTAATCAAGCACTAATTTTAACTTAGACCTGTTTGTTGAACATAAGTTATGGAATGTATGATGAGGATGGAAAATTAGTAAAATAAATAACATTATATAATTTATGGAATCTCCCTTGTTTGCAATGCATTAACTAAAAGATGATAGCAAAAGATAAAAATACTCAAACATTTTTTTCTTTGAAAAAATTCACTATAGTACACAAAGCATAAGTTCAAAAATACAGATAAAATTTCTATATAATTTTTTATCTTGATATTGAATTAACAGAAAAAAAATTAAAATTAAAATTAAATTCAAACACATACCTTATGTATACGGCAGGTTGAAAGTCAAAAATAAAAACATAATTAGTATCAACAACTAATTTCAGAGTACAGTCGGCTCCAAAACGCTGACCATCTACCTAAAAAAAAAAAACAAACAAAAATTTAAATACCATTAAAATATATTAAGGAAGTTAAATTTTTTAATAGCTTGTTGTTATAAATTTTATTTAATCTTAAAAAAAATCAAATTTTCAAATAAATAAATTTTTAAAATTAAGTTTACATATTTAACAATAAAACCATTCATTAAATTTAATTTATATTACAATAATTAAGAAAATTAATTTAAAAATCACCAAAACATTTAAAAAATGTTTCATCATTTAATGACATTAGAAGTTTCTTAATTACTTTAACTTTCAAATTCACGAATATTCATTTTTATTTAATTAATATAAAAGTTCATAAAATAATTACACCTAATATATATTATACATATAATATTAGGATTTAGACTTTATTAATTGTTTTAATACAGTATACATTAATTATTGATTTTACAGTACATTTAAAGTACGTTTAAATTTATTTTACACCTACTTTATAATATACGCTTTCATTTCCTTCAGTTTTTATCGACACGTTAGCTTTCAATTGAATAATATCCATATTGTCAGCTTTCCCTCATGGAAATAACGCCCACATCTTCAACTTGTAACCGATAATGCCTTAAAAGAGCCTCCGAACTCTGAAAGATTAAAAAAATAAAATAAAACAAACACTCGAGATCCGTGATTATTCCCTCGAAGTTTAAGCACTATCGTCATTTCTTTTTTGCATTAAACTTGCCATTTACCGGTAAGCTTATATCGCCGGGTAAATCGTAGATACTTGACAGCCAGTGCCTTCCCGGGAAAAAGTGGTACACCCGCACTTTTATAGCAAACTTTGAAGTTTAGCATCTCCCCCTGACGTCAATACAAATCGAAAGTCTCTCGCTCTCTCTTTCTCTCTTTCTTTTAATTTTGTTTATTTTTAATAAATTTGGTTTTATAGTTTAAATTAATTTAAATTATTTTTATAATTAATTATTTAGAAATACTGTTATAAATAATTAATTATTTGTGTCTTTAATTTTTTCGATTGTTAGATGCGAACGTAATATCCTATGTATTTATTTTACGTTCGTTATTACGAACGTAAAATAAACACAAAGGAATAAATTCTCTATTTGATAAGCATTAAAAAAAAGGAGAAACGTTTCTTTGACGAGTTAAGGAGCCATCCATTAATTACGTGTGCATTTCTGAGCCACTTTTGAACGCACCTCCCTCCCTCCCTGCTGTGTACAGTACAATGTACTTTTGGTAAATCACCTTTCCCTTTAATTACGTATATAGTAGGCGCCTTAACACTGAAGAAATGACAGAAAATATTTGCAAAACTTTTTTAACTGATAGTTTATTCAAATGACATGTAAAAGGCATAGGAACAAATTCATACGTCACAGTGGCATGCCGTGACATTTTGATGATAGGGAAACTGTGTTTCTGTAATAAGCCGACTTCCAGGGGCAATCAGTTAATTGCGCGTCATTGATGGTCTAGGGTCCATTCGCATTCGTTTGTTCGATAAGCCAATAAACACCGTAGACTTCCCTAAATGTATTTTTAATAGATTATCTGACGTACTTAATCTAATACATAAACAAGTTCAATATAATTACCTCTGTTATTAGATTCAATAGATTCCCTATGCCTAATAGATTCACGCAATGGGGCGAGGGCAGCCAAATAGCTAGTAGGCAGGCGGCTAACAGCCCAGAACCGGTGCAGGTGGCCGGATGGCCGAACGGTCAAGGTGGCAGCCTACCGCTCTGGGGGACCCGGGTTCGAATCCGAACGGATCTAAAAATCCCCAGGAATTTTTCGGGGAGTGGTCCATTCGGATATGTTGGACCCCGTCCCTCACCACCCGGCAGCCCCATTGTGGGCCTGGCCGAACCCATAATGGGCCTGCTATAAGAGGCCCTCTTAGTGCCCACAGGGCGGAAAGAGTTCCAAAAAAAAAACCCAGAACCGGTCCTGGATAGAATTATTGAAGCATTAAACGATATTTTGGTGTGTAGCTTCCATCAGCTAAACTGCGAGGTTGGTGTTATGTAAAGCGCATGCATAAATTCCTTTAATCTGGCTGCTTTACACCATTCAAATACTTTCGCCGTGGAAGCTATCCCGTATTCGACAATATGGCGCTTTCATATTAAATATGCATATACAAATTTATATTCGAATATACAATAGCGATCTTATCGTTTTTTTCACACGAAATTTGTAATAAGATACATAAAATTAATATTTTATTATAACCGCATTAAGTAATTCAAAGTACGTTAAAATATGAAAATTATCGCACAATATGTACAGTATTTATATTTTAGAAAATACAAGGGAAGCAGCGCTTCCACCGCTTCCAAGGACGGCATGCCACTGATACGCCACTGATAACACTTAAAAAGTCTATATAGACAATGCCTTGAGCTTCTTTCCCCCATAATGTACAGTACAATGATGCACTTTTAGCAGTTCTTCTCTCTCCTTAAACAATGGCGGATTTACCAGGAAGCAAAACAAATAACTGCTTGAGAGCCCGTGCTGAGAAGGGCTCCATTAGTCACTCCCCCTTTATTTATTTTTTCAATTTTCTCATTGAGTTATGAAGACAACATAGACCAAATTTTTTTCGTAAATAAAAAACAAACTTTATTTTATGTTTGAAATTTAAATTGAAAATCAAGTATGCGTTAGAATCAGTGCCGGCCCGAAGCAAGTTTTAGGATGGACCGAGATCCTATTATGGCGCCCCCCTTGGTTGCCCCTAATTTATATCCTTTAATTTTCTTTACCACTGAGGCGCCCCCTAGGACTTAGCGCCTGGAGCGGCTGCTCCGTTCGCCCTAGGGTAGGGCCGGCTCTGATTAGAATTATCGAAATCCCTTGAAACATTGATATATTAATGATTAGGATGATCTACCAGTTTTTTTTAGTTGCAAGGGGCTCTAAAAATTTTAAATTTCTTAGAGCCCTTTCGAAGATAAATCGGCACTGCCCTTAAACTGTACAAGTAATGAATGGACTGCTGTAAATCTGTAGACATCGAGTGGGAGAAAGAATTGAGGAACACCATTGTATAATAAACTAGCAAACCCCGCCACGCGTTGTTGTGGCTCAAAATGTAGCTATTATAAATTTATAACACTTCCCCGTGGGGGGGAATTTTTCGAAAAATTTCTTCTTAGTGTACATTCTGTTGACGTACCCTATTAAAATGCAAAAAACTGCGTCTAAAATAGTATAAATAGAAGCAGAGTTCTTTACGGTAAGCCTTAATACTAACCATCTCCCTTCAGTGGGGCCGCGTTTCTTTATGCAGCGCTCGAGAAGCGCTTTACAGCGAACCCTCTGAAACCCGTTTCTAAATGCAGCGCTGCAATGTAGCGAACCGTTTCTAAACGTTTGCTGCAAGAGGTCGCTGCAGCGAAGATAAAGCAGCTTTTACGTCCGCTACACGTGTAAAGCAAAATGGACGCTTGTGTGTATAATACGATATTATGCTGTAAAAATAAAAAAGTCGAAGTGACTGTTGATAAAAATATTATGGAAAGATTAAGAAGGATTAAATTTTATGAAATGACTCTGAAAGTTATCTAAAGAATAAGAAAATACTATATTTTAAATATAATTATATATCTTTTATCTCTTTACTTTGTTCACATTTATGGAAAGATAAATGCTCGATTCTTTATATCTCTTTATTTAAATATTGTAGTTCTTTAACTAAAGCACTATTTTCGGCTGTAACTGGAA